CGTGGCCGTCTTCGGTGATTGTGAGGGGTCTTGCACCTTCCCTGGCGAAGAGCCGCAAGGTAGCCCTAGTAAATTGCTCATGTCATTAAATTACCTCACTTGTGGGTAGGTTCTTGCGGTTTTCAATTGTGTGGACGAGATTCGTGCAACACCTCTTAGCTGCCGAACCACCAAGTGTTAGTCGACACAACGGGAACTAGCATGCCGGCAAGCACGTGAACCTCGGGAGAAAAATCTTGTGTTTCTTGTGTGATTGGATTTCTCTTGGTGATTGATTTGCTTCATCTTGTGATTGGTTCATTCCTCTATACGGCGATATAATCACCATACTCACTCAATTACTTTCTTGCAAACTAGTTGTAACAAGGTCTTTAGTGTAACTAGTTTTGAGAGTTTGCTTGGTAGCTTAGTTTCATCTAGTGGAGTTCTTTAGTGTAGCCTTATTGAGAGCTCTTAGTGAGTAATGACTTAGTCTCTTGTGTGACTAGATATCATAGCTACTCGAAATGTTGAGTAGGTGGCTTGCAACACTTGTAGAGTTAGAGCAAAATTGTATTACACCATTTGTTATACTAATCATTTGCTCTAGTGCTTTTTAGAGATTTTAATAGGTTATTCACCTTCCTTCTAGTCATATTAAGACCTTTCAAATGGCTTAAACGGTTTTAGAAACAAACTTTGGGTTCCTAATGCAAAACTTACTTTTTCTATTTATTTATTTTTCGCTTGGGCCAGTTGTGGTCGGCGGCGGATTCGGTCCCAGCTGGCTGCGTTGTGTTCTGAGCCGAAGCCCATGGCCCAGCCGCATAGTAGCATTTTTCTTTCTTTTCTGTTTTCTTTTCTTTTAAACTAGTTGAGAATTATAAAAATCATAGAAAATCACAAAAATACCAAACCAGTTTTGTTACACTAATTTTTTACTATTGCTACACAGTAAACATATAATATCATATGCTTTAGTATAAGGTTTTTGTTGTATCTATAGATCTATGTTTTTCTGTAATTAATTCATAAATGGAGTTTATGTAGTCTTGTTGTTGTGAAATTTTTATCCATACATGTCTACTCTCACCGTGCTCCAAATTTTTAGGTGTTGTAGATATACCTACACCTAATATAGTTATTAAAGAGCCAAAATTTTAGGCCGGTTTTTTGGTCCACCTCCCCCTAATAACTACTTGATAGTGTAGTTTCTTTCGTCCAAAATTATATAACCCATACTCATGCGAGTTAGAATAGCTCACGTCTAGAGTGATACGAAGTCCAATTCCAAGATGTATTGGGTTCTGTATATGATCTGAACTCATGAACCATGTTTATATGAGTAAGAACAACTCACATCTAAAGATGATTAAGTTGAGTGTGAGCCAATGGTGGCAGCTTAACTTGGTCCGAGTAATTGGAGGGTCGCCAGAGGGGTCTGACCGTAGCTAGTGGCTAGCTGGCGCGGCTGGGGGCAGCCCTGAGAAAGCTATCGCCAGTTAGGTGCAATTGCAACCCCAACCCTAAATGGCACGGCCAATATAAGGGGCTGGGACAAAGAAAATACGCATGTGACGAAAAAACCCCGAAGAGAGGAGGAAACAACTTGCTATTGAACGTGGAAAGTTAGTTGGAGAAAAATTTTAGCAACTTCTTATTTGTAACTATGTGAGTGTGAAAACTGTCTCTGCTCATGCCACCGATAATGCAATAAATTGTTCTCCCGTTGCAACGCACAGGCATGTTTGCTAGTAACGATTATTTGACGAATTTGATTTGCCCTGGCCAAGAATAAGTATCCCCAAGCTTTTGGGTACTAGAGGTATACCACTAGAATAACTAGTTCAATTCCACGCGCGTTGCTGCCGGAATTTGGGATTATAATTTAGAGAACATATCTGGAGTTGAATGGGGAAAAGATGTGAATGAGATATTACTGGTGATATCTAAAGTCAACAATTTAATTTGTAGATGATAGTTGACTAAATTCATCCTAATGGGCATATATATATACCGGCATATACGCATAGGCTGTGAGCTTTGGAATACACGTGGTTTTAGTAGAAAAGCCAAAAAGAAAAGATAAAATGTAGCAGTATTCAGATTATACTACATATCCGGTAAACTAATCCTTAAAAGCTATGAAATACGAAAGCTTAAAAATGAAAATATATGATCATATATAGAGGCACAAACTAAGGTAAAACTATTATCCAGTTTGAATCCCAGCTAAAGATTATCGAGTTTGAACCCGTGATCCTGCCTGCTCTCCTTTTCTATCTTTTCACACATCTTCGGGCACTTGCTCGTTCGGCGATACGGCACCTCGCGCACATGACGGCCTTGACCTAGTGACGACGGAGGTGGAGGTGTCTGGAGGAGCAGGCCGTGGTGGCCGATGCTCATTGTGCCGGAGACGGCAAGGTGCCAGGAATAGAGGCGGCTGGAGGAAGATGTGGTGGTGCTCGCTCACGGTGCCGGGAATAGAGGCGGCTGGAGGAAGATGTGGTGGCGCTCGCTCGGTCGGAAGCAGCGCTACGCCGGAGGAGAAGGTGGAGATGGCATGGCATTCATGGCGTCGTGTGGATGCTGCCGGTGAAGGTACCGATGGGTTGCTTGGCTCGGAGCATGGACATGATGGGGAAGGGCGGTGATGGTACATTGTTGGCGTCCAGACGTCTCGCGTCGTCGACACCATCTTCCACGCCTCTTTGGCATCCGACGCCCAAGGATCACGGCTTGGAGCTGCTACCGTCAATGGCGTGAGGCTCCACTACCGGTTGTGGCGCTGCCATACCGATGGCCTGGGCAGCCGGATCCACTGCCGAGGAGAGTAGTAGCACAACTATTTAAATGCAAAGGTGATGACGATGGTTCACTTCAGGTACATAAATTGATGTGGCTGATGAATGGATGCGGCAAATGGCAATAATGCCTGTGTGGTTGTGCCCGTTCGCTTTTGTGGCAGATGAATGGATGCGACAAATTGCAATAATGCCTGTATGGCTGTGCGCTTGTGTGCAAATTGTGCAATTGAACGTACAATGCGTTAAGCTAAGGGAGGGAGGCTAATAGGTGCTAGGGGCTAATAGGGAGGTGAAGAGATGAATTAGCAGCTCTAAAAACTGCTGTTGACATCAACTCTGTAAATTGAAAATTGTCACACGGATGGATAGATGGAACTCTGGATGCGTGGGCCAGGAGGGAACGATGATGTAGAGCGTTGTAGATCGAGAAAAATTGGTTAATAGAGTTTTGCTTTATAAGAGCATATATAGGATTAGAACCATCACAATATTAGAGATGACAGGCGAGTGGTTGTCGTGGTGAATTGGTGATGCATCCGCATCAACTGAATGTGTTTTGCTTTACCCGTACGTTGTAATTGGAAGCAGAAAAATTAATGTAAAAATGTATGCAAAAAAACCACTACCATCGGTGGTTGCGAGCAGCGCGTACGTGGAAAAGCCGGTTGATGTGAAGGCCTAAATCAACCGATTGATGTATAGCGTTTCTATTAGACAATCGGAGCAAGTCCAATAACTTGGCTATTTTTCTTGTGAAGGCTATTTTAAAATTTATATAGTAAAAAATATGCTCCAACAGATGTGCTATCTAATTTTGTAAAATAAGAAGGTGACTATCTCTTAATTTTTGGTGATCATATAGAGCTGACGACAAGCGTTAGACTATATAACTTTGTAAAATAGCAAGACTGTTATAGATTTTTTCTTTTTTGAGAAGTTTTGTATTTTATTATTAAACGATAAGGCATTCGTCCTTATCTACTTATCCGGACGCCGTGCATCACACACGCCCGTGACACGCTTCCAACTCAATGACGCGCTCCCAACTCACTGCCGTGACACGCTTGCTCCAGCCCGCGATGCGTTCGACGAACACCGCGCCCGTGCACCAGCTCGCTGTCACCCTGCCCACTTGCGCTCCCTCCCTCCCTTCCCCATCCGTGACCTCCATTGCGACCCCGCACTCCCAGCGACCCGGCTCCCGCTCCCCCCGCCAGAGACGAGGACGACGGCGGCGGCTCCAACGAGGTAGGTTGTTCCTTCTCTGGATCTGAGCCCTCCTCCTCCTCCTCTGGATCTGAGGGACGCAGTAGTGGTTAGGGTTCCGGTGAGCTCTGCGATCCTATTCCCTCCTCCCTCCGGCGAGGTCGAAGGTGATAGGCCAGGGGCTGGAGCATGTTTTACTGTTTCTCCGTGTTGCAAGGGGGTATTTGGGATGTTGCAACAGATGATTTTTGAATGTTGTAATAGGGTGATTCATGTGTTGCAGAAAGGATGTTTTAATGTTGGGATTGTATTTTTCTCCTAATGTTGCAACTTGTGAGTTTTTACTTTTTCTACGTGTTGTGGCAAGCGAATTTAATCGTTGAAATTACCTTTTTTAAATGTTGCAGCAGTGATAGGTGATTTGAGATGTTTCTATTTTTCATGTTTCGTGGTTAATTTTTGCGAGGTTACAGTACTACTATTTGAGATGTTGCATTATATAATTTTCAATGTTGTAGTACATAATTTTCGATGTTGCACTATATAGTTTACATAATTTTGTGATGTTGCACTTCAAATGGATCGTGCTCTTGGGACAGGGCACGGTTGGGAACAGAGACAGGGCGCGGTGGAGAACGTGAGGTGGTGGGGAACGGGGACAGGGGCACGGTGGGAACAGGGGTTCAGGGTTTGGACCTGTATACCTCTCCTTGTCTACGCTCCTCCTCGCTGAGCACGCGGCCCTTTCCGTCGATGAGGAGGCGTAGGCCGCCGGTTGCCGCGGGGGCGCGTAGGCTCGCGGGGAGGGAGGTCAGCGCGGTCCTCATTGTCGTCGGTCGTCGCGATTGAATCTGTCTGGGACCGTGGCGCGGTGGGGAACGGGGCGGGGGGGGACAGGGGCACAACAGAACGAATATGATATCTGGAACCTGCGTCTGGGTACCGCCAAGAGTCCTTACGTCGCCGTTTATTAAATCGCTAAACAATAGAATTTGGCAACTAATTTTAACCATCCATGGAGTTGGTCAGCCCCACCCTAACAGCGCTCTTGTCGCTCGTCTCCGCCGACTTGCATCGACAGACGACCGTGGCGGCGCGCCAGTCGCGTCCTCCTCCTCGGTGAGGCCCCGACCGCGCAGATCCGCCGGCTAGCTCCCCAGCCCCTAGGCCCCCACTTGGCGGACTCCCCGAGGCCCCAGGCGGCAGGCGGCAGGCGGCCAGCCCCATCCGGGCCAGCACACTGTGGCCGGCGGCCTGCGGCAGCGACCATCATCCGGCAGACCGGCACTGGTCCCAGCCGGCGGAGGGGCAACAGGAAGCACCGCAGCAGCCCGCTGCGGCCAGCTGGCACTATCAGCCCAGCACCCCACCCGGCACTGACTCGCCGCTCAGGGCTCAAGCTTGAAAGCCTGAGCTCTCCGCTGTTGTTGCTGTCTGTTGCACTTGACTCACTGTGAGTATTGATTAACGACTTGACAATATAATGAATCGACTATAGATCATGAATTTTGATTTTGCTACGAGTATATATCATAGCGCGGGACTGATCCTGAATGCTGCTAATTTGTGGCTGTGAATCTAAATTATTGGAGATTGAACTTAATATATATAGGCTCAACCTGATTTTTCAAACACCTACAAGATGTAACCCATGTTCTTCTCTTTGCATTACATTTTTATGTTGATAATTTGGATTTTCGAAAAGTATACTGGATTGGTCCAAGATTTAGTACCTTCATGCTTCATGAATGCCAAAGGATTTCCTAGGTCAATAATAATTAAGAAAAATCAAAAGGTTATGTACTTTATATGTTACTACTACAACTTTTCATTATATATTTGTACTCATGTATCCCAGTACTGATGTTTTGTTAATCGTTAGATGACATGGACATAGAATTTCGGTACTTACATCTATGCAATATAGTTCAGCCCCTCTTGCTTGATTTCTCCATCCGCCACTGGGAGCTGTGCTGACCAGAAAAATACCTACCTTTTTCTTAACTGGTTTGGATTAAGTATGGAAGTAATGTATTTCTGTTATATACATGTATGCTATTGTCATGGCTCACAAGCTTAACGAGCTAGCTCAAGCTGGCAAACAAGCTGAGCCATGTAAGCATTTCTGGGGCCAAAGGTTTGCAGTAAATGCAATTGGCAATTTTGACAAAATCTTGGCAAAAAAAATTGCCAATTTTTGTTTTGAATCAATGTTATAATTTCTTAGAGAACATGACAGACAGGGGAAAAAAGCAGGGTGTTGGACTCCACACCTCCACACCTCAAATCTGGTGCCTTACTACTATTCATTTGTTTGTTTCTGTAACCCTTGTGGTTATGAAAGCTATTTAAGTCTCAAATTCGAATTAGAAATAGACCAGTTGAAGTAAACTGCCTTTCCCTGCTTTTTTGCATAAGATTTGCTACCATGGTCCTAGCTACCAAGAAACTAGTACATAGTTGGAACAAACAGTTTGGGCTGTTCTTATATTGCATTTATCTTCTTTATAAGTTCGCCTAACATTGCATCATTATCTAATTTCCCGTTTTCTTTACCTACAGTTTTGCAGCATAAGAAATATACCTACACACAGCTCACTGCATGTCAGGATTGATGGCAGATAGGGAGCATCGAACGGTGTTTGTTACAGTGGGGACTACATGTTTTGATGCTCTTGTCATGGCGGTAGATTCTCCAGAAGTGAAGAAGGCTTTATTGCAAAAAGGTTATAGTAATCTTGTTATTCAAATGGGCCGAGGAACATATGTTCCATCCAAGGTTAGTATGCTTATACCTCTAGTAAGTTATCAAACATTTAATTCCTTCCTAGTTTGAATTATGGCAATTCCTACTCTTTCTTATAGGAATCTTCATAACTGGTAATTTAAGTAACCCTAAATGAAAAGCCAACTGGAAACACACCACAGATTTTATGCAAATGGTTTTGTGCAAATATTGATTCATATGTTTTAAGAAAACAGGGTGTGTGTGAACTGATGTTTTCTGAGCAGCGGTTCTTACTTTATGTTTGAGAAAACAAACCTATAGTTGTTTCGCGGTCTTGTTCCTTCCTTATTCATATGCCCAACTTGTTTCACCAGCTGCTTGCTTTAATCGAATTAACCTTGCTTTTCTTTTTGAAATATTCACGTAGTTCCCTAGTCCCTTGTTTCTAATTATATAGTGAAGTTAATAGTGTTTATCTATTTGGGACTACAGGTCTCAGGAGATGCTACCCTTCAAGTTGATCATTTCACATTTTCACCAAGCATTGCTGACAATATGGGAACAGCTTCTCTAGTTATCAGCCATGCAGGTAAGTATAGTGTTTGCAAATGGTGATGTTGGAATATTTTCCATGATTTTTTTTTTTTTTTTTTTTTTTGCTAAATCTTGAAATTCTAGTTTGATGTGCGGGTGAATTTTCCAGTAATTTTTATTTAGACCATAAAATGTGGAGCAACATACTTCCTTTAAATTGTTCTTCTCTTTCTATTTGAGAATGGTGAGCTAGGAAAATCTTCCAATACGCACCAGTTTATCATATGCTTTGGATCTGAGCTATTTCACCCTGCCCCACTTCCCTATTCATCTGATGAAGTGATTGAGATTTTACCATCCTTAATAGATGGGGAAAAAAAGCAGTAAATGATTAAGGACTACAACCTCTAGTGTTAAGAATCATGCCGCTACAATCAAGAAAGATTGCTGGTTACCCTAGAGGGCTTAGCATTTATAAAAGGGGGGCTTTATAAAAGCTACTCAAATCCAGGACAGTACAAGGCAATGTAAAAATTACCTTTGTTAATTGTGACTACAATTTGTTTTTAACTTTTTTTCTGTTTGGAATTTGCTCCATCTTTTGTTACTATCAAAAGTTCTTCATTTGCATATCACCGAATAATTTTCATAAGGACTATTCTGCAGCAATGTATCACAAGTTCCAGGTAGTATCAGTTTTTTTAACTTCGTGATGCTCAAAATGGTCAAGTTGCCCTGTTGCAACTTGAGCAGTTGTGCATATCTGGTTCAAGAAGCTTTCAACTGCACTCGAAAGCCAGACCTTAGGATTGACTAAGTTTTTGTTTGAAATATCTTGTCTGTTTATATTATTTATTCTTTAGTTTCTCAAAGATTTAGCTCTGGCAGGTTCAGGAAGCATATTTGAAACGCTACGACTCGGCAAACCACTAATCGTTGTTGTAAATGAAGATTTGATGGACAATCACCAGAGTGAATTAGCAGAAGAATTGGCTGAAAGGAAGCATCTCTTCTGTGCACGCCCACAAACATTGGGAGAGACCATCCGGGCAATGGACCTAGAGACATTAGTTCCTTATAAGCCAGGGGATGCCAAACCAGTTGTCACCCTGATCAACAAATTTCTTGGCTTTCCCGTTGACTGACAAATAACTTTACCTCCATTAAGGAGTTGGTCCCCATATCTGCAGCCTGTTCGGTTGGCTGGTTCGTTTCGTTGCTGGTTTATGAAGAAGTATTGCTGGCTGGTTTGTGTGAGAGAAAAATATTGTTCTGGCTAGAAATTTACGATCGTTTACGACAAGCCACAGCCAAACGAACAGGCTGCTGTTCGATAAAAAATGGATTAACTGATATGATGATCACTAATGCTTTTGTATTGTTGTAGTGACAAGAAAATAGCAATACTGTCCTCTTTGCCATTGGGTCTAATTAGGAACACATGGTTCATGGCTTCTGTTGTTTCTCTGCCGTCGCCCCGGGCCCCGATTCCAAAGGGCCCCACCCCAAGTATGTACTATAGGTATATCGTGTATAACGTATATGTATATGGCCTGTCAACGTCAAGGCCCACTGGCCCAGCAGCGAAGAGTAGCGCTGGCTTGCCCAAGGGCCAAGGCCTAGACTATCTCCAACGGCACGGGAGATGCATCTGATGATTTGGGTCACGTTGTGTTAAAAGGTCACGAACCTATATGTTGTTTTTTCCAACAGCGAACCCAAAAGTCACGCCAACAGCATTTTGGGGGGCGTGACCGGAGCTAGCTGCAGCATGCGGCGCGACGTAGATTTGCGTTCTCCATCGCGTCCCACCCAAAATGGGTTCGTCATTTGCATCGTCTGTTGGACCGTGTTTTCTTCCGATAAAGCGACGTGAAGTAGGCATTTTAGGTATGGTTGCCGCGATGCATCGGCGTCCACGTGAAGCCATCCCTAGCCGGCAAGTCCGTGGGCACACACGGACACGTGAATCGTGACTCCTCATTTCTTCCTCAACCTCAAGTCCTCGTGCGCGGTGGCGACGCGAGATGCAATCGTGCGGCGGGCTGGCGGCGACACGCGCGAGACGCAAATCTGGGATCACCAGAGGGCAGCGACGCAAGACGCGATCACCCGAGATGTGAGATGCAAGCTTCTGCATCTGCTCCGGATGAGTGTGAAGATGAAATTGCACTGCAGCAATGAACAAAACTAATGGATATGACGGCTAACTGAAAGGAGAAAGTAATTTATTGGCTAATGGACAACTAACTGGCATGTTCGTTTGAACTTATCAGTCGGCTTATCAGCTAGAATCTACAGTGTTTTTTTTTGTAGCAAAACAGCTTCAACCGGCTTTAATACCAGCCAACATCTATGTGTTTGAATGACGTACACAAAGATTCGTTTTTCTGAATGTTCAGATATGTAAATGAGCTTGCAGAACCAAAATGAGTAAACATGATTTTCCTCATATGCACGGAAACTAAATTCTGGTAGCAACTGTATTAGTTCTATATGCCTATAGGACACAACAATTTAATTACGCTTGAATTTATCAGCCGGCTTATCAGCTAGAATCTACAGTATTTTTTCTCATAACAAAACAGTTTCAGCCGGCTTATCAGCCGGCTTTAATACCAGCCAACATCTATGTGTTTGAATGACATACACAAAGATTCGTTTTTCTGAATGTTCAGATATAAGTGAGCTTGCAGAACTAAAATGAGTAAACATGATTTTCCTCGTATGCACGGAAACCAAATTCTATTAGCAACTGTATTAGTTCTATATGCCTATAGGACACAACAATTTAATTAGAATAAATATGTGAGTCCTTTGTTGGCCGGTGATGGAATTGACCGCTGTAGCACTGAAGCTTGCTGGATTCCTTGCTGGCTAGCTCGTGCTCGCTTCAAGGTAGGGTAGCAGTAGCTTGAAAGTAATTTAATATATATGATTGTTTTTTATGAATATTGTTTTCCATATAAAATTAAGTGTTTGTCATTAACATTTCATACATATTTAGAGCCTATTTGGCCCGCGCCTATGCGCCCCGAGCCGCAGCAGGGCGGCACCAAAAGTGCGGCATATGATTTTGTCGCCGAACTTTTGGCAAGCTGAGACGCAAAAATTGAACTACGGAGCCATGGTCATGCTGCAAATACGGACGCGAACCAAACGCACGCTAAAACTGTGAGTGGAAGGTGCAGTGCGGTGCGCAGACACGAACCAAACACATCCTTGCATTCAGTATTGTGACTAGCATATCCGTAGAAGGGCCTCTGGTGTTTGGTTTCGCCCCAGGCCCCGAAAAACTCAGGACCGGCCCTGGTCATGCCCTATAACAATAGAACATAATAATGTTCTTTGCGTGAACAATGCATAAATTGTGACCTGTTTCGTGATCGCTATTGATGAACAGTGAAGACATTGTGAATTCCTGATGCCTAGCGAAAGCATTATGATTCTTGTGTTTTCCAGCGCTGAACTATGTTAAGTTTGGTACTTGGGCATTTTGTGGACTGGGCGAATTCTAATGTATACCTAAAGAACCAATTAAAATCGTATTCTCCCTCGTCTACGATGGCAATCGACCAAAAGGTTTTCTTTTTTGTAAGAAGTTGTCAGGCTGGGGTGGCAGGCGTTCTCTTCAGGAGTTGGGAGTTGGTCTGCTGGGATGCGACGTTTTTTTGCAATATGTTTACTTGTTTAGTGGAGTCGTCTTGTTTCTGAACGCGTTTCTTTGTAAGCCGGTACCCTCGGTAAACTCTGTTAAGCTTTCAATATAAGCTGGACTTCAAGCCTTTGGTCTTCTTTCAATCGACCAAAAGCCCGCTAAACGCCCTGTGGCTGCGGTGGCCTCGATTCTTCCGAGTTCCTCTCCTATCCACTGCGAGAACGAACTAGGACCTCGATTCTTCGTAACGCGGTTCGCCCACCGCACCGTGTGGTCGCGTTCCAAACAGGGCCAAAGACAGTGGTGGATCTTGCCTGGGCTTTTCTTGGTGGTGTTTACATATGTGGCGGAGTACTCCCTCTGTGCTAGACTACGTTGTAGAAATTGTCATGGAGACCAATGCCCAAGCAAGAAGACTCTAACACCCCTACACGGGAATCTCGCAAGTGATGGTGACGTGCTGCATAATGGAGTTTGGAAGCAACACTCCGGCTGGAAAATACTTTTCTATTCGATTCTCCACACTGTAGAGGCCATCGGTACACTGTTTTTGTGCTTTTTAATCCATCTTACGACACGATCTAACGGTTTGATGGTAAGTTGGTTATAATTAGACTGATATGTTGGGCTACAAGACTGACTCCGACGAAGCTACCCAAACTCAAAAATGAGTCTCGCACATACCGGCTCCAACGTATAACCCAAACACGCGACGCATTTTACCTACCCGCCCAAAGAAAACGCAAAAAAGCGTTGCCTCTCTCCTCGCTACGCAAATCTCCGATGGTGGAGCTCGCCCGCGGAAGCAAGGAATGGCCGAGCTTCCCTTCCCTCTCAGCACACACGGCCGCCGCCTAGGAGCACCACCTCGGCCCTCGCTCGCCGCGCAGCACAAGCTGAGCCGGCGTAGCCTTGGGCCGCTGCCGCCATCGGGGAACTCGAACTCAAGCTCGCGCGCGCACTCCCGGTGGTGGATCCTGCAACGACCACGCGCGGGGACGCTCCCGGCGTCGGCGGTGCATCCTTGACGGGGGCAGGTGCAGGGGCGGCCTCACGACAACAGCGGCGCATCGGATCCACGCCGAAGCACGGCTGCTGCGGCGCTCGTCCCTCAGATCCGGTGGCAACACTCTTCTCCCTCAGATCCGGCCTGGCCGAGGTCCTCTAGGAGGCGGCGAGCCGGATCCCGACGGTGCAGGGAGGATCCGGTGACCTTGCAGGAGCAGCGCCCTCTCTTCCTTTTCCTCCTGTGGATCTCGGTGGCTAGCGGCGGATCCGGCACCGGTGCAGCTGGAGCACCTCCACCGCGTCGAAGCACCACTGAAGCCGAGCGTCGAGGCTGCCGCCGTCGCCGTGCTCTGCCCTGCTCCATCCCTTCCCCTCCGGTCTGCCTCTTCCCTTCTGCCCTCCTCTGCTCCGCTTTCTCCCCCTCTGCAACACCCTCGGCAAGCCAACGCCGAGCACTGCAAGCTGGCACGGGTGGCGAAGGAGGTCTTGGCCACCGTGCCATCGCCGTCGTGCAAGGTGCGGAGCGTGGCATTCGACCTCGCCGTCACCGGGGCCGCGACGTGGGCGTCCTCGTCAACAACGCCGAAGTTTCGGGATGGGCTTTGCGTTGTTGGAGATGACTGAGTTATGGGTGCGTGACATTTTCCTATACATAACCCAAAACCAGGAATGGGGGTCGGGTTTAGGTTTCCTTGGTTGGAAACAGTCTAACGTCAAGTATTGTGAGACAATTTACGACGACTTTTTTGGAATAGAGGGGTAGCGGTGCACGAGGCGGCAGTCTTAGGCTCTGTTCGTGTGTCCTTAAACCCGGCTTGATCCGGTTCTTTTTTTCATTCGGAACAGTATTTTCCTCTCACAAATTTCTCAGATTCATCTAGATTTCTTCTAATTCCTCTGGCGAACGGGGCTTAAACCTCTGCTTTGTTGGTCCCCGTGTCTGGTGGCTGTACAATTGTACCACCTCTCCATTTCTTTACCTAATTTTCGCCGATCTCAATTTCCCCTCCAGCCTCTAACCTTTTTCTGGGTTTCTCCCCCATCACGGAAAGCACAAAGCCGCGGCCACACCGCAACAAGACACAAGAGCCAACGAACCCGGACCCGGACGGGTGAGCGAGCGGCTCTTGCGGAGAGCGAGCAGCACGGCGCTACACAGAGAGACGCGGTCACGCGGACCGGGTCGCCGTGACGACGAGACGCGCCATGGCACCGCCGCCGCTGCTCGGCAGCACCGACCTCTGGCGGCCCGTTGCCGCCGCCCGCGGGGGAGGCTGGGCCACGGCCGCCGCGCTCCTCCTCCTCCTCGCCTCTCACCTCGCCGTCCTCCTCGTCCGCCGCCGCCTCCGCGGCGGAGGCCGAATCGCGCAACCGGAGGCCGCCGTGGCGCCCGCGCCTGCCTCCACGCCCCCCGGTTCTGCCTCAGGGTTGGTCCCCCCGTACTGCCTTCGCGGCCGTGGGTTTTCTGATCGAAAAATGCGTGTGAACTGGGCGCGGTTGACTGATTTCTGATTGTGCTGTGTCTTCCCTTTGGTTGGTGACAGGATAGAGGGACTAGTGACGGAGGGCGATCTGAGGCAGCTGGTGGACAGCCTGGGCTTGGACGCGCGCGAGCCAGAGAGGCAGGGCTGGGAGCACGTCATCTCCAAGAGCAACGACGACGTCTCCTACAAGGCCTGGTGCGACAAGCCCGCGGTATGGCTACCTTCATCTCCCTCTCGTCTCGTTCTGAGAATACAGTATACTCTGCGAAAGCTCGTGTCCGAGCAATTAGATAACCCCAGTTGGATCATGAGATTCTGGTTTGGTGCGCTCCATATACTGGAACTGTTTTGACTTGTCAATTTAGGCGTGGAAATTGACCCTTATGATATTGTTTGCAATTCCTCGGAGTTCAGAACTGTTGCAATCGTAATTGGTAATCATGTGCTTTTGTCTGCTCAAATTTACTAGAGGTCATAGATTGTTTCTGGATTCTTAGTGCCACGATTAAATGTTTGTTGTTGTTGCTGTGCTCTTACTATACAGAATTACATGCTTGTTGTTGTTGTGCTCTTATGATATATCTCTATGACCGGTCGGCAAGAGTATGCCAGGATTACATGCTTGTTGTTGTTGTGCTCTTATGATATTTCTATGACATCCGGTCTCTTGCTTTATCAATCCTTTTGCCACTCAATGTAAATGACAAATAATTCATACAGTCATGCATCTCATTTTGGATGATACTTTTATTCTTGCAGGCTGGCCCTCCTAAATATCTGAGTATTACAACATACGAGAGATGCTCGACTGAGCAGTTGAGGGACTTCTACATGGATAACGAGTACAGAATGGAGTGGGATAACACTGTCACAAAACATGAGCAGCTGCAGTATGATGAGAACAGTGGAGTGGAGGTAGGGCGAACAATTAAGAAGTTTCCACTTCTGACACCAAGAGAGTACATATTGGCATGGCGAGTCTGGGAAGCAAATGACAAGTCTTTCTATTGCTTTATCAAGGTTATCCCTCCTTCCTTCATTTAACTTTACATACTATGTGCATCAGAGGTATCATATCTTTTCACTAGAAAGAAATCCATATACAGCTTCCTCAAATGTTTGGCATATTTTCATGTGCAACTTCCATGGCCATAGCATCAGCTGTTTCAAATGTTCTCCAAGTGAAAAAGAAAAAGAAAAAAAATCTTATGTCAGTCATAAGGTCATAACAGTTTCGGAGCTGATGCAGAATGAAGTGAATGAAACCATAACTGCTGTGTTGGACTGCAATCTATAATCTTCATAGCTACTGCCAAAAGACTTTTCAACTGATGTACATCCTTTTTTCCCTCATTTTGAGCATAACATTACTGGAAATGAACTAAGCTGGCAGGCTTATTTCAAGCTTGTGTTACCCTATATGTGTTGTACATGGCGATGCTGATGATCTGATTCTCCTTTGCACTCTCTACCAGCTTTGCATTTTTTTTAGTTTGCCTTGCATAAACTGTTAATCCTGACAGGAATGTTTGGCGTATTTTCATGTGCAATTTCCATGGCCATAGCATCAGCTGCTTCAAATGTTCTCCAAATGGGGAAAAAAAATCTTATGTTAGTCATGAGGTCATAGCAGTTTTTGAGCTAATGCAAAATGAAGTGAATGAAACCATAACTGCTGTATTGGACTGCAATATGAATCTCCATAGCTATTGCTCAAAAAACTTTTCAACTGATTTACATCCTATTTTTGTCTTATTATGAGATTAACATTACTGGAAATGAGCTAAGCTGGCAGGCTTATTTCATGCTTGGGTTACCCTATATGTGTTGTACATGGCGATGCTGATGGTGACATCTGATTTTCATTTGCACTCTAGACCAACTTTGTGTTTTTTTTTTAATTTGCCTTGCGTAAATTGTTAATCCTGACAGGAATGTGAACACCCTCTTGCGGCACGGCAGAGAAAGTTTGTTAGAGTGCGACTTCTAAGATCAGGATGGTGTATTAGGAAAAGTAAGTGATCTATAAATTTTTTGCAAGTCCTTTCATTTTTGGTATTTTACTGAGCCTAATCTTGTCTTTGTTTCATCTTGGGTATTGAGCTTTTTAAGAAAAAAACAGGAAGTGTCGGGCAGACTCAAATTTGATGATGTAGTTGCTTGCTATCACATTATTTGTGTTATGAATTAAAATACTAGTCTCTTCTATTTCCACCTGATGAGACATCCTCTTTTTGTTGTCAGTGTAAATTGTTCCTTAGTTATTTCTCTATGTGAGCTTGATGTTATTACCTTATGTCTTGTGCCACTTTGGTGCAAATTTAGACTTTGAACTGGCATTTGAGTCTTGCTTTTATTTTATTGGATGAAATATTATCATAATTAAGTCTTTCATGTGTAAAACCTTTGGGATACATATGTTTACATTCTTTTCATTTCTATGTATACAGTCCCAGGCAGGGATGCATGCCAAATCACAGTGCTGCATCATGAGGACAATGGAATGAACATAGAGATGGCAAAGCTAGCCTTTTCCAAGGGCATCTGGAGCTACATATGTAAAATGAACAATGCTCTACGTCGGTATCCTCAGCATCGCAGTCCATCACTGTCGATTCTGACCATGCAGAAACTTATGAAGAAGGTGATGTTTTAGTATATTTAAATTTGCTGTCAGTAGTTTTTCCTCTGTTAACCTTCTGGAGCGTATTATGGAATATGTAGTTTTTTCTGTCATGTGCACATCTGTGATGAATTAGGAGGCAAACGTTTTATTTAATTATTATGTTTCTCTAGTACGTTTGCAGGACAATGTAAATCACTGAAGCTGATTTTAAAAGTTTTGAATCAAGGAACCACATAACTTGAGTAGACTGTTATACTATCTTGACCTGCTCGTTCACGATCTGACAAATCTAAGCCTGTTTGCATATCAGTTTCCCCAGGACTTGGAGGCCGCAGATGCAAGCCTTTCTGCTTCCCAGAATACTGCAGCATCGGTCGTTCCTTCAACACCGACGGCCAGGACATCACCATGCAAGCTTCCGGGGAAGAAGTCGTCTCGCCAAATGATTGCGAGCGGGCTTCTGCTGGTTGGAAGCATCGTTTGTCTATCTCGAGGCCGATCCAACCTCGGGGCGCAGCTCGCGATGGCCTTCTTCTTGAAAAAGGCCTTCAAGCAAGAGAGGGAATCAGGCTCATCCACATCAAGGACGAAACCAGACGTGACTAATGCAGGCGGTAGCCGTACTGGTTTGACCGTTTGAGCCGTGCAGTATTTTTTAACCTTTCTCTAATTCCAGAACACGTGACTACGCTCTGGCTGAGTGGATACAACTGTGAAGAGTTTTCCGGAACTAATTTTGTAAATATTCGTTTTCAAATAACTAGATGAGTGCACACCGTGAACTTTTTCATCTGAGTCCACATGGATATCAGAATATGTTTTCAAGTATACTTACTAGACAAGTTAGTTCTTGTTTACACGCACTCCAAAAGTCTCTAAAGTTTATTCTCTACATTATATTTGGAGAGCTATTTTCATAAAAATTGTTTTCTATATCTTTTTACTTTCTAACAGTTTTTCTGCATTTTGTGCGCACTCTAGAGAGACATTCTCGTTTTCTATTTTTGATTAGCGAGCAATCCAAATCACCAAATTCTTGAAAGGCTGTTTGGAATGGAAGAGTGTCCAAACCACCAAATTCTTGAAGTGCTGTTTGGAAAGGAGTAGAAAACAGAGGAAGGGAACAAAACACAGAAAAAGGATATGAATGAGGTGTGAAGGATTTGCGAACATTTTGTGATGACGCTTCTTTGCCAAAAGACCTTGCACAACAAGATTAATCCATGAGCAAAGTATTTATGATTTGGTTAATGAAAAATCTAGGGATAAAGCAATCAACTGAAACATATTCAAAACACTAATGTCAATATTCACAAGGCATTGATCTTCAAAGTTCAAAGGCCTTGTTTGGTATAGTTTATCTGGGAAGCGCTTTTTAGATAAGCTGCACAAATAGAGTAAATGCGGCGGTCAAAATAAACGGGTCTGATCCAACTTTTGCTTTTTAGTACAAATGGGAGATGTGGGAATAAGCGTGGTCTGAATAAACTGCTGAAAAGCATGGCGATTGACTGATGATTTCAGCTTATTTTGACCATAAGCAGCTTATAAGCTATACCAAACAGGCCCAAACACTAAAATCTCACAGCAGAAAATACACATTGAGTCGTGACATATCCTCCTTTCTCCCCTTACACACGAAAGTGTCATGAGATTCTTAAAAAGGAGGATTGCAGAAAGGAACTAAATTGTTGGAGTGTCTGGCCGTCACTCCCGAACTATCCGTCGTAACAGTTCGGACCTGAAAAAACTACAAATTTAACTCTATCTATCCTCTAAGATAATCTTTGTAGGTTTATAAGGAATGCACACATGTGGTTGAAAGTGATGGGGATATTTCTTTCAAATTTCATCCTCAACCTTTCCGGTTGCTTTTTTCAACTTGATGTTTGATCCATTGTACTCCCTCCATCCCAAAATAAATGCGCATCTCATTTATCGAGAAGTCAAACTCTTTTTAAGTTTGACTGAGTATAGAAAAAATAATATCAATATTTGTATTTTTAAATAAACTTATTATGAAAGTATATTTCATAGCTAATCTAATGATACTTATTACATATCATGAATATTATTACACTTTTATATATATTTAGTTAAATTTTGAAAAGTTTGACCACCTGACAAGGGTGACGTGCACTTATTTTAAGACTGAGGGAGTACCTTTAACCATTCTTTATGCCTTTATTTTTATTTTCTTCTCGAGAATTCTAAATGTGCAATAGAATGTTCTTCCTATATTTTTCGTATCCCGGGTTCTAAGGAGGGATGCTTTGGGGATTAGCATCGTAGGCAAGGCGACTCACGCATGGTCTTCGCTCTCCCTTCCTCTCGGCATGAGTGATACCTCCCCTGCGGCCGCCGCCCTGAACCACTGGAATCGCCTGATCCAGCTCGCCGCCGCGTCGGGCTCTTACGCCCACTGCCTCCGCCTCTACGCGGGACCGCTCCTCGCCGCGGGCCTCCGCGGTGACGCCTCCACCTTCCCTTCCCTCGCCAAATCCTGCGCCGCGCTGCGCCTGCCCGGGCTCGGCCGCGCCATCCACGCCCTCGCATTCCTCGCGGGCGCTGCCGTCTCTCGCGACGCCTTCGTGCGCACCTCTCTGGTGGACATGTACGCGAAGTGCGGCAGCCTCCCCGACGCGCGCCGCCTGTTCGATGAAACGCCGTGCTCGAGCCGGACGCTGGTCGCCTGGAACTGCATGATCTCGGCGTACGGACGGAGCTCTCAGGTCGAGGAGGCCGTCGAGGTGTTCAACGCTATGCGGCGAGCGGAGGTCAGGCCCAGCGGGAGCACGCTCGTCGGCCTTCTGTCCGGGTGTGCGGACTCGGTGTCCGCGAGGAACCTTGGGGTGTGCGTCTATGGACACACCATCAAATTGGGGCTTGACGCGGATTTACTTGTGTCGAACTCGGTGCTCACCATGCTTGTCCGTGCTGGCCAGCTGGACTCTGCAAGGTTGCTGTTCGATCGTGTGGAGAACAAGTCTGTGGTTACTTGGAGCGCCATGGCATCAGCTTATTTGCAGACAGGGGACTGGATGGAAGTGTTTGAACTGTTCAGCAGCATGCGAGAGACAGAGCAACCTATGGATTCAGTTGTGCTTGCCAATCTAATCACGGCTGCTATGCTGTTTGGAAACTTGTTGGTGGCTAAAGGCGCGCATGCCCTTGTTATCAAGGCTGGTTTTGATTGTCAGGAGGATCTGGCAGCATCCTTGGTAAACATGTATTCCAAGTGTGGGAATCTTTTGGCAGCTAGAAAGGTATTTGATTCACTTCAATGGAAGAATGTAATCATGTGGACTTCGATGTTGAATGGATATGTTGAATGTGGTTGTCCGGATGAGGCTTTGGCAACATTTGATGCCATGTTGTGTGCGAAGGTAGAGCCAAATAAAGCAACTGTTTTAGTGGTTCTTTCAGCGTGCGCTAATTTGGGATCCGCTAATGTTGGCCAAAAGGTTGAGGAGCATGTGAAAGCAATGGGACTGCAGTCAGACCTGCAAGTTTCTACTGGACTGATAGACATGTACTGCAAGTGTGGGAGCATCCAGCGTGCTAGAAAAATATTTGACAATGTTTCTAATAGGGACTTAGCTATCTGGAGTGCCATGATCAATGGATATGCTTGCAGTGGAGAAGGCAGTGAGGCTGTTGTCCTTTTCAATGAGATGCAAAGCAAAGGTGTTCGACCTGATGCCATTGTCTTCACTCATATTCTAACAGCATGCAACCACTCTGGTTCAGTAGATGAAGGTCTGCACTGCTTTCACAGCATGACTGCAGAATATGGTATCAAACCATCTATTGAACATTATATGTGCATGATTGATTTGCTTTGTAAAGCTGGCCATCTCAGTAGTGCTATAAAGTTCTTTAGTGAGATGCCAGTTCAGTTGCGAAACCAGGTTTTGGCTCCTCTAATTAGTGCACACAGAGTTCATGGCGCTGATTCATCCATAGAGTTCTTATCAGAGGGAGTACTGAACCTGGACTCCCAAGATTCTGGTCATTGTGTCCTAATTTCTAATATGCTTAGTTGTTTAGGGCAGTGGAAGAAGGCCAGAAGTTACAGGACGCTAATAAGCAAGCTAGGATTAGTCAAGAAACCTGGATGGAGTTACATCGAGCTGGGTGGCTAGCTGCTCTATGTTTGTAGAAAACACAAATCCCCATTCTGCTGAATCATACAAGATGGCATGAGTTCTTTCAAGCGCTTTTGGACCAGGCTCAGTTCAGTTAAGGTGGAAGAATCAATTCTTCTTATTAGCTCAAGTTCAATCTGTATTTTGTGTAAAAAAAAGTTCAATCTGTATTTCTGACATGGCATGCTTACAAGATACATTCAATGAGATTTAGTATGATGCTGGAGTTTGCATTGATTCGGTGTGACAAAATGCAAAGACAGCAAGAACACCCAATCAGGAGACTAGTCCGTATTGAGTTGAGGCTTAACGAGGATAAGCTAAGGACCTTCCGGATGTTAGTTGCTATTGGCTAACTGAAACAAACAGGGAATTCCTGAGCATGATTCCAAGCCTTTGCATATTTGAGTCCCAGGAATCAAAACTATTAAGTGCATTCTCATTTTCAACTAATTTTATATTTATACAAAGCATTACAATTTATTTTATTACACTAGCAAATATGGCCATGTGTTGCAACGGGAGAAAATGTATCAAATGTTTATGAAAAATAGAGACAGGGAATGCTTGGACTGTTATACTTTATTTTGTGACAATTATGACATCTAAAACACAAATTAATGTTGGCAATAATACGACAATGTATAATTTTGCTTATATCGAACTGAAATAAGGTTTGGATAGATTTTTCTCACGTTTCTAAGCACAAAAATATTTGTTGGTACAATTAAATATCAAGTTTCACATTCTTTTAAAGACACGTAAAAATCTGTAATTGAAGTCGGCGTAGAGTTAGTTATCGATATGTCAAGGCTTGGTATGTTCGATTATAATGAGAGGAGGCTCTCTATTTTTCACGTCGTGTCATAATCAGGGGTTATTGCACCGGTGCAATAATCGGGGATATACATACCGCATTGGCTTACAAATTGTTTATGATCTAGTTTCACAGTTTGATTAGTTGGACTATCGACTGAACCAGGTTATAAGAGTTTTGCTTTTAATCAAAATTGCAATAATTAATAACTTAATGGTGGAAAACATTTCTTTTTCAATGAAAGGCTAGGAGTTCAAAGCATGTTGTCTTGCTTTTATTCTTTATTTTTACTTTTATGATTCATCTATCAGTTTTTTTGCAGTCATATTTAGTGAACATGTTGGAATGGGAGAAAAAAAAGACAAAAATTGGCAAAAAGAAGACATCCAAACGGAAAAAGAAATTGACCCTCTTCGTGGCGCACGAAAACTCACGGACGGTACTCGTACATGTGACGAATGACACTCTATCTCTCTCTTCGACGTAAGGCTGTGTTTAGTGTGTGAAATAAAATTTTTTTGATGTGATATTTCGGGAATGTCGGAAGGAGTTTTTGGATATTAATAAAAAAACTAATTACATAGCTTGTCTGGAAACTGTGAGACAAATTTATTAAGCCTAATTAATCTATTATTAGCGCGTGTTAGTTACTGTAGCACTTATGGCTAATCATGGACTAATTAGTCTTAAAACATTCGTCTCGCGATTTCCAACCAAACTGTGCAATTAGTTTTTTTTTGTCTATATTTAATACTCCATGCATGTGCCGTAAGATTTAATGCAATATTTTGGAGTAAAAAATTTTAGGAAGTAATCCAGACCTAAATCGGAACGTCCTAGAAAGAGAAAAATAAAAAAGATCAAAACCAAGACGATGCTTCCGAGGTGGGTGTGGAAACAGAAAAACAAACGGCTGACCATGTAGAATGGTAACAAAAGTCAGAACGACTAGCCCTGGCAGTGAAGCAGCTACGAATCACATGATTTCTGCATGCGATGAGCCAGGTCGAAGCAGAAGCAGGGTACCAATCACGTCCTATATGTAGGGTTGAAATCGGATGATCCTATTAGGATCCAAAAAGATCCATTATTTATTTTGAATATTGAATTTATTTTTAACGTAAAAATATATTTATTATGAATGTAATATACTGTATTTATTATTTTTTAACATTTATTTTTGGAAACAATAAACCATAGGACTATAGAAGCGGATGGAGGGTCAGCAGAAAAAAGGTTCTCACCTAATTGGAATCATTTTTTTTATAAAGCTTATGGAGAAAGAAACAAAACCATAACCTCTTAGATACGTACAACGGGAAAAAAAGAATCAAACTCTCCTTAATATAGTATTTTAATATTAGAATCTAAATCATATAAACGTGACTCATGAGCCTAGATAGGGAGGGCGTGATTCAATATATTTTGGAATCGGACTCTGTATCGACTATCATGAGATGCGAGCTATTCTAATTCGTACGAGGACGAGTCATATAAATGATAGTAGGATAGAATTAGGATTCGTACGAGTCATATAAATTATAGTAGGATAGAATTAGGATTCTTACTCAGGTTACTCAGGATTTAAAGTATTTATTTGGATTAGGATTTGGGTTCGTACCTATCCAGATTACCTAACAAAGCACCTATCTAGGTTACCTAAAAAAGCCTAAGTATGTTATTAAATATAGGATTCTTACCCAGGTTACTCTGGACTTAAAGTATGTATTTGGATTAAGATTTGGATTCATACCTATCCATGTTACTAAAAAAACGCCTAGGTATGTTATTAAATATATATAAAACATGAGAGTTATAGAGAGACGAACAAAAATAGTTTTCATATTTATAGAGTTAGTTAGAGAAAGCCATACTAAAAAATGGGTATAAAAAATAGGCTAAAATTTTACCTCTTTATTATTAGGTATAGATAAGTCCAAGTGCATTTGAATAACTAGGAAAAATGTACGTGCATGGCTATGGATGACCATATATTAAGAAAATATATGTAAAGTCACACCTTGTTTCAACTAAGAAAACATAAGCATGCGTTGCGACGAGAGAAAAAAAAACTATCAAACGTTCGATATATTCACTTCACTTCACCTTGCTACATAGGCCCCGTTCGCTTGGAGGAATTTGGAGGAATCTGAATGAGTATGGAGAAATTTATGAGAGGAAAACAATGTTCTGGATGAAAAAAGAAGCGGATCAAGCCAGGTTTAAGGGCACGTGAACGGGGCCATAGCTGCAACGGCCACGACAGTTTAATTTGTAATGGTGCTACTTTTGATATTGTGGGTGGCTGTTGCAGCAATTACAAACGAGCAGGCGAAGGGCTTGTAGCCTAGTGGTTACAAGAGCCTCAGTAGCACCTATGACCTTGGGTTTGAGTCCTCGTGTTTCAGGATTTAACGGCATTGTGCTTTCTGAGGTATGCGACGTTTCCATCGACAGCGAGGCGCTGGTGACTTCGTCAATCTCGTCTCGAGGATGTGTCGGCCCAGTCTTTAAAGGTGCACATAGGAGTAGGGTTTGCGTACATGCGTTCATACGGATGAGTGAGCGTGCGCTATGAGCGTTTGCGTTGTACGTTGTAATCTCTAAATAAATCACAAACGAACGGGCTCATTAATGCAAACAAGGATGACAATAGTTAGATATCAAGTTCTTAGGCTTCTTTTGAGGATCCATAAAAATATATAATTTTAATATTTTATTAAGGTGGGCAAGGGTTAGTTGTTATCGTGTCTCGATTTTCATATGTTAGACTTGTCAAGAGTTGCCTTGTTATACGAGCACAACTTAGAGATTTGTACTTACTTACGTGGATAGCTCCAAGAAATATTTATTTTTATTGGTTTAGGTGAGAAAGTGTTCAAGATTTAAGTTTATACGGTTTAGGCCAAGAAGTTGACTGCGTGTCTGCGTGTGTCGTATGAGGGGAAGGAACGCACGCGGTGATTGAAGACGGGATTCCTGTGATTGAGGAGTAATTGGTGATTGATTTTCTTTCCATTTCGCTGGATGGATGACAGGAGAGCCGGAGGGTGCTATCGTAAGGAAAGCGAGTGGGAATTAATTTTTGTCTTCCTGATTTGCTGCGGCTGTTATGGGGATTGAGCTGATCGCATGGAGCGAGTGCGCGTTGCCTTTCTGATCTGATCACATGGAGCGGTTTTGGTGTCGCACCTGTGGACGGAATAGTTATGATTAAGTTTACGTGTTTTGTACAGTTAAAAAGATACTTTAATTGTGATATCCACAACTTTATATAAAGGATGAACAATTAGAATATATAACTCAAGTTTTTTCCCCATGCTGAGATCATGTTGCAGCGGGAGAACATGAAGGATTGTTCGTGTGCTGCAAAGATAGATAACACAATAACAAAAGCTATGCATTTAGAAAAATCAAAACGACTTACAAGTTAAAACAAAGAGAGTAGTAAAGATCTGATCACATGTTTCTGCAATGGAGTAGATCCATGAACAATACAAATTTCAATGAAAACTCAATTCCTCTTGAGTAGATTGTCTCACCCTCGTACACCTTAAGAAAACTTAAATAACATGCCTCTTAGTTCAAATATAAAATTGCTATTTTCTAGAAAATAAAGAATTTCAAGGGTTAAATTAATATATAAATGCATAAGGGATGCCACATTTAAGCCATAATTAAATTTGTGATACGGTCATGGAACATTAATCATAGTTGAAAGAATAAACACTTGATTGTGTACATTGCACTCAAATTTACGAAAGCTGCATCTAAAATTCTAAATGGCTAGACTGAATAAGGGAAGTCCATAGAACTTGAACCTAAATCCCTCGTGCAACTCGAATATAAACTCTTGTACATGAATGAAGGCAGTGTCCCATACACGTTAGGAACAATATTTGCAAATGCGGGGGAGGCAAAGCGAGTGGGAGTGAAGGGAGCTAGTTTTGACGATTGTCAGGCTTTTTAGGAGTAGAGATAAGACAAGATCCTGACCTTGGCTGCAATAGTGAAAAGAGATTAGAATTCTGAGAAAAATAATGTTAATGAACAAGTACCCCTCTATAACTACAAAGAGGAATATTTCACCATCTCCTTGAGTATCTTCCAGAATCCTAAGGTGATGCACTGCTAGCAAGCTGTAGAATCCAAAGGTGAAGAAGGACTTCGCCTGGGAAAC